GCCACACTAAACCATGAGTTGTAAAAATAAATAAAATATACAGCTATTTACAGTAATAGTATCTTTTTTAACTTACAACTATATATTTTTAACTTTAAATTAAGTTTTCGAAATCGTTTTGTTAATACTATGACACAATTAGATCTGAAGGTACAAAATCTTTATTCATGTGTTTAAGGAAAAGGTGAATTTGCTTGAAAGTAGGCCTTGATGTGTTCTCCCTTCTCCAGCACTGGCACATAAGTTCGTAAAGTTCCGATGGACAAATTGTAGGTTTATTTAGAAGTACCTGAAACACAATAATAAACAATTATTACGCAATTACAATAAGTAGGTCATTATTTAAAATTGTTCAAAAATATTGTCATCCTGACACAACGTGTTATTTTTTCTCTAATTTAATATTATTTATTTGTTCGTTATCTTGTACAAAACGCTCATTATTCTTTTTTCAAAAATATAATTGTCGATAATTTTTACTGTTGTATGTTCGCGATTGTTTTGCCTAGTGTGATACGAACTTTACTAGCCATTTGTTGTTTGTGAACATAAATCGTGAATATTCGGAGATAATCGACCTTACGATTCGGTATTCATACATTACTACTATTCATATAAATACATTGTCTTAATAATTCGTGTTTTCACGTGTTTCACGCGTACCTAATTTAATCGCGACCGGGGTGTTTTAATTAGACTTTGATTACAATAATTACGAAAATTATCGTACGTTTAGTGCTCTGTCATTTGAAGTTGCGACCAGATTGGCTGAGAATTCTTTTACGGAAAGAAAATGCATGTAAGTTTTTCATTCCGTATATATGTATGTATAAGTATTACACATAATATGGAGGAAGATGAAGCAGGATTTCGACAATGAATTAAAAAGTATCAATATAATCTGTATAAAAATAATTAACAAGAGTCTTGAATTTTATTGTTGGTATTTTAGTTACATTATTAAAATATTTAGCAAAGAAAATACCTACAATATTTCAGAAAGAACTTTCTGGAAATAATGCGAGACATCGACATGAAAAGGGTTTGATATTTTAATTAGTCGCAAAAATTGGTTATTCTCAATATTGTGGCTTTGTTTTTTAATTGAATACACTTACGATCTACTGTTTTCCGATTGAATAAAGATATTAGAAAATTAATCTTGTAGGTGCCTATAAGTGGGAGGGGGGTGATTTATTAAATTTTATCGCAGGGTGGTTTCTATTGGCACAACTATTGACCTAAAAAACTTTATTTTGTACATGTTCTGTAATTTTTTATTATCTACAAATTAATATGAATAAAAATACTTTATATGAATTTGAACCCATATAAAAGTTGCATTAATTTCTGACTAAAATACATTTTATACAGTTCATGAAATAAGATTCGATCTGTAAATGTTCGCGACGAACTAATTGCACATATCGATATACCAGAACTGTTAAGAAAAGTTTTGCACAAAATAAATTAATGATCGCTGTTTTCTTATTTTAAAAGAAAAATTGCCCATATTGTTTCATAAATTAATACAAACAATTATTGGCGTAAGTATATTGTGCTTTTGTAGGTTTTTAATATAATAATAATTGTTCAGTAAACTGTTAAATTTTTGTTTGGGTAATTAAGTAACTAACAATCATTTTGGTAATGGCTTTGGCGGTCAGTTGGTGAACTAGAGCTATCCTGATCGGGGACTAAAGGACGTCGTCGGTTGCTTCCTAACGTTTCACTAGGACGAACGGCGAACTTCTTCAGAGATTCTTCCATCTGTGATGCTGGATGTAGAATACAGTCAAAGATGGAAGGACTTTTGAAGAAGCTTACCACTCGTGGTAGCGAAACGTTAGGAGCTACTCTAGGCCTGAATCAGGACAGCAAAATCGTTTTTGCATTTAATCTTTTGTTTTTGTCTTTNCTGTATAAAAATAAGTAGGAAGAGTTTTGAATTTTATTATTAGTATTATAGTTAGATTATTAAAATATTTAGGAAAGAAGATACCTACAATATTTCAGAAAGAACTTTCTGGAAATAATGCGAAACATCGACATGAAAAGGATTTGATATTTTAATTAGTCGCAAAAAATTGGTTATTTTAGATATTGTGGCTTTGTTTTCTAATTGAATATACTTACGATCTACTGTTTTCAGTTTGAATGAAGATATTAGAAAAACAATATTGTAGGTGCCTAGAAGTGGGAGGGGGGGTGATTTATTAAATTTTATCGTAGGGTGGTTTCTATTAGCACAATTACTGACCGAAAAAGCTTAATTTTCTATATGTTCTGTAATTTTTTAATATCTATAAATGAATATGAACAAAAATACTTTAACACCAAATTCATATAAAGCATATAAAAGTCGCATTAATTTCTAACTGAAATTTGTAAGATACATTTTATACAGTTCATGAAATAAGATTCGATCTGTAAATGTTCGCGACTGTTTTTTCTAGTGTGATACTAACTTTACTAGCTGCTTGCTGTTTGTGAACATGTCATTTTAGAATGTCCCAACTATTGTACGTACACCCATTTGAGCCACAATCCCAGCAAAGAGATGGTTTGAGGGTTTTGGAGTTACGGTAATTAAACATAGGTCTACCTCCACCCCTCTTAACACATGTTTTTGCTTTTAATATGCATCTAACCGGTTCTTCATGTCTGAAAATGTGTCATCCTTCTGTATTCCTTCTCATTTTCATACCTCTTAAGTTCTGACTTTCTCATTTTCCGCAGTGTAACAGCCACACTAAACCATGCTCCAAACATACACCCCATTAATAATCGTTTTGAATTTCCAAATTTACCGATCTTGAGCATTCGTGATTTTCCATTGATAAAAAGTTCAGCAAGTATGTCTTTACTTAGGTACTTATCGCATGCATATGTACTAGTGGGTACAAGGTGTACATTTTAACATTCCGCGCCATATTTACTTACCTGAAGTTCTCCACCGTAATACATGTGCTCGGCGTTCTGAATAACTAGCTCGTTAGTCAAATGGTGGAATGGTTTCTCGCAAGCATAATGTAATATTTCCCAAAGCGTCACTGCAAACGCCCACACGCTGCTTGAGCAAAGGTATCGATCCTGTGAATTAATAAAAAAGGAAATATTTCAAATTGAATTTGCATTCCTTCCACGACAATTTACTCTCTCGGACGAATTGGCAGAGCGTTTCTGTTTTCTTAAGTACTTTTTGTTCTGAAAGCGTAATGGAGTGATAGACACCATTATAGGTACATTGGACTGTAAAAGATTCGGAATAGCACAAACATCTTTGTACAATGTACCTATGTTTGCTTTTTATTTACTAAAATCACTTTGCCTTCTGGCTGTAAAAACACTTACAAAAACCTATTTTGGAGAGTATGCAACCCAATTTGCGCCGCAGATTGCGACGGAAGTTTCGCTGGTCATGCAACGGAAACTGCGCGCGCAACTGCCAATGGTCAAAGTCAAGTGATATAACTTCTATAGCGTGTCGATATGTAAGTGCAAACGCCATCTTTTATTTTGATGTAGTAGTTATAAGTTTGTTTTGGTTTATTTACTTCCTATAGTGACCCATTTCTTCTTTGTTTTTTGCTTAAAAAGCAGAGTAGTTTGTTTTTATTCCAGGGGGAAAAGAAAAACAAAAAATAAGGAAAATTTAGTTCATTTGTAGCTTGCGTCGTTCCAGATAGAAAATGCATAAAATGTAAACAAAGAGCATTTTAACTAAGTGTAAAATCCAATCTCGTCCGGTAGATTTTAATTTAAATTAAAGCCAGCTTGAGCCTTGGAAATGAGAAAGTACGAATTAGAAATGGAAATTAAAGAAAACCTTTTCAAATCAAAGTCGCGAGTACAAATGAATAAAATTTGAACTGAACAACGTAAGACTTGGATCCTCCAACATAGAAAACGTTTAATTAACAGTTCCAAATTAACCACAGACTTCAAATTATTCAAGCATTTTTTTCTGTTGACGTTTAAGTTTTCGAATGTTTGAAAAGCGTGAGGAAAATCATTTTTCAATTTTTCACGAACGGCCTTTTAGAGACGCGTCAAATTTCTATATTGGAACTGAAATATTTAGTAACTAAGTTGACTTACCAGGAGGATGCTTTCCCACGGAAGCCATCTGATGGGTGCGGGAGGTCGACCCCCGATTTCTGCATAGTCTTTTTTGTATTGCGGTTTGCACATGGCAACGTCGGCTATTTTCACGACGTAGCCTCGTCCTACTAAACAGTTCCTGAAGGAAAAAGGCAAGAGATTTATAATAGAGAACCGCCGGTTCAAAAGGAGCATTTCGGTGCAGTTTACCTTGCAGCTAAGTCTTTATGAACGACGTGCTTCGATTCCAAATACCTCATTCCCCAGGCTATTTGAGTGGCCATAAAAATTAAACAGCCGATGCTGGAACAGTAGCGAAAACGGCGGTTAAGAGTTATACTTGATGTTATCTAGACTTTTACGTTTTTCTAATGCTTGTAACGAGGCTAATAATGAAATACGAGCGGAATTTATATTCAACATCCGATGTTCTGATGCTTATAGTTTACAAAGATGGAAGAACTGTTCTTCCTGTGATATTTTAATTAATAAATAAGAACATTGTGCAATAACACAATAAATTGTGAAAGAGGTTAATTATTGTTTCGTTTAATTATTATCATTCGATTATCGAACCCTTTTAGGCGTTTTTATTTGGATCTTACGATCGGTTTAATTAATCGAATAAAAATCCAAATAATGACACTTTGCCACTAGTAACAACAACAACTTATTACCTTAACGGATTGGTGCTAGAGCATCTCGTACTTCCACTTTTCTTAATAATAAATTGTAAATATTCGGCAAGGTCCCCCATATCGCCATATTCGATTATAGTCCAAGGGGGTTGTTCTGCTGTACAGACCCCCAACACCCTACAAAGGCTGGGATCTGTCAAACCAGCGAGAAATCGAAGTTCTCGTAATGATTCTATTGACGCTGTTACTACGTTGTTTTTCACCCTGTTGGTTTCCACAGGGGATGGCGTTCGGACGACCACTAAACGCCCAACACCGGCAATTATGTCTTCTAGTCTTTCAGTCTCGCACAGTCTTATCTGAAAGGTCAGTAAGATTCCAAAACAATTCTACTTATAGTTCTTTACATTTTCTGTGATGTTGTATTCTAATAATTCTAATTTGGTGTGCAGATAGCTATGGAGTTCAATTTTGAAATAAATTTTTGAAAATTGAGAAAACTCCCAACGAGTCTAATTTCTAACACTTGAGACCATGATGAGAATCCCCTTTAAACAATTGCAACCTACCGCTTCCTGCGGAATTAGTTTTGTCCAAAATGTAATGTTTGTTATAACCAATAGGTGGTCTCGGTAGTATTGCATTAATTACAGTATTAATTTAGATTAGGTACGTTCCTAACGTATAGTTACTCCAGGGCCCTATCGTGAATGATAATCAACAACGTCCGTGTTATCTAGATGTCCTAATGCACACGGAGATACAGCGGCTATAGCTTTTCCGTGCCCCAACATTATTTGCATGTAACGCATGTCTACCGTCGAGGAAATCATTAGCGTACAAACTTGCGAGGCTGCAAATAACAAATATACCATGACGATGAATAAAACTGTACATGGTACCTTGTTGTTAGTTCCAATTTTACTAAATCGATCAAGTTGTTTTATGAATAGGTTTTGGAGGGTTTTGGATAACCATTAACTCGCGATTAATGATTCAATGGTAAAATTTCCAGTGTTTTTCTGGTTAGGTTAATATACTGAATACAGGGCTCTGGCCGAGTTCGTCATGGTACTTCCCACAACCTACATTCCCTAGACAAAAATATTGTCTCTGAAAGCGTCTCTCACAGTCTTTCACAGTCCCTCAGTTATTGCCTAGGTGTTCTTATGGATCTCTCACAGTCTCTGTATGAGAGACTCGAACGATAAAATTGTTAATTCAGTGATTCGAGTCTCTCACAGAGAGACTGAATTAATAAAACTGAAAAATTGAGAGACTCGAGTCTCTCGTAGAAAGACTGGGATCTCTGAAGTATGTTGAACTTAGAAAATTTTAACCATGTCTATCGAGACACCACTTATTGAGAGATTCGAGTCTCTCGTTCAGAGACTGGATACGAAATGAGAATCTCTCTATGAGCGACTCAAGTCTCTCGTTTACAGACGCTAAACAGTTTTTTTGTCAGTCTCTCGATAGTCTCTCTCAGCGACACCAGAGAGACTCGGTGAAAGATGGAGACTCGAGTCTCACTTTCAGAGACTCTGAAAGACTGAACATTTTTTTGCTCGGGTTACTTAACTGGGCCGCACAAGGTGGTTCTGCGCACTGCTTCGGAAAACTGTCTCGCTTTTTCTGCACCTATTTGTGAATTAAATGTATGTTTGCATAAGGTTTTTATAGATACATTATTTTCGATAATTTTCATGTAAAGTACACCTATTGTCTTAGTATTTATTTTCGTTTTGAGGTCTACTTATCTAGTTTAAATTAAGAAAAAGGATTGAAATGTGAATAGGCAATAAATTTGTAACAAATAACGTACTTCTCCTGCATGACACGACCCTATTTTCTCCAAGGGTTTAAGACAGTATCTTGGAATCGGAATAAGTTCTTCTTCCTTACAGCAATATTTATGGCCCATGCTTGGAGCTATGTTCCAGCATACCACAGGTGGCAGGATCTGAAAATTCCAACAAAATATGTTCGTCCTTACGAAATATATGTGAGTAAATTACTTCGAAATAGCTCATTACGTGTCGCTACATTCAACAATGTTTACTGTGAAATATTTCATCAAATTTTTTGCTAATTTAACAGTAAACTATACTTCATTTACTTTCTCTAGCGAAGTGCCCCTTCCAATGTCATGGATGCGCGATGGCAAATCGTAGGTAGGAAGAAAAAAGCTCATTATACTCTCGACTCTTATTCATTAAACATACTTTTTCATAGAGTACCTGCCAAAAGTTTTGTTCAATCATGAATAGTATTGCGAGTCGAAAACAAGCGTTAAGGCCTTTAATATGTCTTTAAATATAAATAAACATCTCGTTGATATTTTCAGTAGTAAATGGTACCAATAACAGCACATTTGAGCAATGCAATTGTAGTGGATAAAACGGTCATTTTTTCCGTGCAGTACTGTACGGATTATACGCTCCTCACCGGTTGAGAGTTTGGCCGAGAGTTGTCTCCTTCCTTTTCTGGCCCAGTGCTGTTCTTTTCTACTTTGCGCCGGTCAAACTGTAGGTCACATCGCTACAGAAAGTAAACGAAGTATAAAATGGTGAATATATCGACAAAGGTCGACTTTTTACGTAAAAGCTGAAAATATGTGAATATAAAGAAACATTTGTTTCACGTATTTCAATGCTCCATCTCTCGAACACGACTACCAATAAACATTAGGGTGTATGTAAAATGTAAAAGCAGCCGATAGCTTGCTTTGCAAATACAAATTCGCTATCGGCAGAATGCAGTCGGCCGCGTGTGCAAATCGGCAAACAAAAATTGTAATATTCAATTTATATTCCGGTTCGAAACGTCGCCGTCGTGCCAGTCGTCTACGTCCTAGAGAAGTAATGCTTACTGGTAGTCGTAGTAGTAGGCTACTTGAAGCAAATAAAATTGTTAAAGCAGTGAAGTAAACTTCGATATCACATCTGCCTTGTGCCATTGTTTTTGCCAACGACAAATTGCCACAGACTACGGAATAATACAGGGACAGAGTATAAACTACAAGGGGGAGGTTGTAGGTACAGAGGAGGAGGCTGTAGGTACAGAGGATAGGGAATCTTGTGCTTAAATTCTATTGGCTACTCGTACACTCGATTACAGTGTAATCATGACTTCATTTGTCGTCATCATCACCATGATAATGTCGTCAGTCCTAAGACTGGTTGGTCACGCACTTCCACTCCTTCCTATTGTGAGTTAAACTTCACAATCTCCTAAATCTAGAACACTAGGTCTATCTTTCCTCTCTTAACTCCTGTAACTGCCTCTAATATGTCTCTTACTGGACCTTCTTGCCTGAAAACATGTCCTACAACCTATCTCGCCTATTTTTTATTGACTTCCATAAAGTCCTCTGTTCTCCTATTCTTTCTAATACCTCTTCATTTTTAACCTTCTCTATCCACGGTATCCTCATCATTCGCCTGTAACACCACATTTCGAACGCCTCTAACCTTTTTTTTTCCGCCGCGCCCACCGTGTATGTTTCGCACCCGTACAACGCCGCACTACAAACAGACCTTTAACAATCTTTTTCGAATTTCTAAATTAATCGTTCGCGAGCATAGAAGTGACTTCTTTTTATTAAAGGCGACTCGACCCTGCGCTATCCTCTGCTTTGTATCCCTACTACTCCTTCCGTGCTGACTTATCTAACTTCCTAGTTACCTAAAATCAGCCACTTCTAATATTTCGTCTCCTATCTTTATATTCGCTCTTTCCCTACCTTTTTTTCCTTGCATACCAGTATTTTTGTTTTACTTCGTTTGTCGTAGTCCATGCAAACTGTCTCCGAATACTAATACATTATTGCTTGTCACAGGGGTATTAATACCTTACCAAGAAAGTTGTGTGTTAAACTCATTGGTTTCTAATCGTATCGTACATCAATTGATACCTACTTAATCAATTAAAACAATACTCTCATTGATGTGACACGGATATTGATAAATAATATAAGATAGGCTTGATTAAAAATCAATAAGTTATTTGACATTGAATTCGCCCATTCAATTTATTTAACACCCTGTGTAAAAACCAGACGGTCTATCGTTCTTTTGTTGAAATATCTGTAACTCACCCTTTGTTTTTCACGTGGCGCCGTGTGATATCGTTTCTTCGTTGTTTTACTTCCATCGACTTTTGGAAAGAAGCTCCCCAAATCGATAAGATTCGATTTGGGACTAGCATTAGGAGTCCCCTGTAGGCTGTGGTAGTGCGGAGGTGATTCCTCGATGTATACAGGACCTTCTTGCCAGTATCCTTCGGTCATGTCCATGGGTGGAGGTGTTTCCAATGACAGAACCGGTTCTGGCATCGTGGTGAAATCCTTCATCACTTCTATCTTGTCTGAGAAATACGAGTTTACTAAAGGCGTCTGATACTGATCGGTACAATTTGCTGAATGTATTGAATTGTGATGACTCGGCGGTCCTTGACTCAAAGGTGTTGGATGGTCGCTTCCTTCGGTGTTATTAGCCGAGGAAAAGTTCATTAAGAGACCCTGTAAACAAATGGGCAAATTACGGGACAATTTAGTGCTTAATTTTCGTTAGGTGTTGTCAATTGCCTGATATTCAATAACTTCCTCTGATTTTGCAATTAGACACTCGTGAAATATTATTGATAATTTATAAGCAAATTTTCGCTGACGGTGATATTTTGTATAAATATTTTGAAAGAAGTTATTTCATGAAGTATTTGTCGAGCAGAATTATCTAGATTGTTTCGAAAAGGATGATTTGTACAACAGAAGAAATAGCTGGAGTGTGAAAAATATTTAGAGGTGCTGCGCTGGCGGAGATAAAATTGCTGGCATATTTTTAAATGCGTTGCTTGCTGCAAAAACTTCCTGTTTGTCTAACGGTTTCGCTTTATATAGGACTATTTTTGTTTTTTAATGAAACGTGTTTCGGATGGTTTCAACGTTACCGAGGGAGCAAAGCAGAAACTGTAACTTGTTTTGTGAAATTTTTCTTCCTTGTAAGTAGGTATCCATTCCTGACGTCACATTGAGAACACACTGTCGTAGTTTATCTACTTTCGTAATATTATTCACAGTTTAAAAGCAGTTTTAAAGGGCTCTCAAATGGGTTTAAAATAAAAATTTTTAATTTTGTTGACTGGCGTTAGAAAAGTCGATATCTATTGAAGAATTTCGTGATTTTTTTTGCTCAGATATGTAGGCTTTATTTTAGTAAGCCACCATTGAATTGTGTGGCTTCAATTTTAAAAAATCTGGTTTCATATTAAAGTTAAGTTCTAGACTTAGCACTGATTATTGTTTTGTGTGTTGTTGGAGAGGTAAAGTCCATGAAGATAAAGGCGAGCACGTTTTCATTTCTGAAAGAAAATGAGCGTCTTTCGAACACTTGAAGCAGATATATGACCGTATTAAAAATAATAACTTTCTGAAACGCTTTTGCCAAACGGCAGGTATGGCATAATACGTGAGGATAATATATCACGGCCCTTCTAGACGAAGAATGTTTGATTTATTATTAAAATAAATCATTTCCGAAATGTCACTTATGTATAACCGCTATGGCCGGCCCCGTTGTATATGTTCAATTTCAGTCAGTGAATTCTTTCATGACCAAAGATATCCCAAATAAAACGGATTTTTAAAGTAATTACTCACTCCAATGCTTGCCTTTTAAGTAAGGATAAGCCTATTCACCGGTACCGTACCGTTGACTAAAGAGCTATTCACCGGTACTGTACCGGTGGCTAAGAAGCTATACGCCGGTGCTGTACCGGTGATCAAGAAGATATTAGCCATTATTGTACGGCGAATAAGAAGCTATAAGCCGGTATGGTACCAGTGACTAGGAAGCTATTCGCCGGTACTGTACCGGTGATCAAGAAAATATTAGCCGGTAATGTACGGCGAATAAGAAGCTATAAGCCGGTATGGTACCAGTAACTAGGAAGCTATTCGCCGGTACTGTACCGGTGATCAAGAAAATATTAGCCGGTATTGTACGGCGAATAAGAAGCTATAAGCCGGTATGGTACCAGTGACTAGGAAGCTATTCGCCGGTACTGTACCGGTGATCAAGAAAATATTAGCCGGTATTGTACGGCGAATAAGAAGCTATAAGCCGGTATGGTACCAGTGACTAGGAAGCTATTCGCCGGTACTGTACCGGTGATCAAGAAGATATTCGCCGGTATTGTACTGGTGATTAAAAAATGTTTCTTTCCAGTCGTCGGTACAATACCAGCGAATAGCTTCTTGATCACCTGTACAGTACCGGCGAATAGCTTCCGAGTTACAGGTACAATACCGGTTAATAGCTCTTTATTCACTGGTACAGTGCCGGCAAATGTTCTCTTAGTCGCTGGTACAATATCGGCGAATAACTTCTTAGTCATTGGTATAGTACCGGCGAATAGCTTCTTAATCACCGATATAACACCTAAAAGTACCTTCTTAGTTACTGGTACAATGCTGGCGAATATCTTCTTAGTGACTGGCACAATAGCAACGAATAGCTTTTTAGTCACTGTATAGTACCGGCGAATAGCTTCTTAGCTACTGGTACACTACCAGCGAATAGCTTCTTAACTACCGCAATCACCGGTACGGTACCGGTAAATAGACACATCGTTTAAGTAATTTTATGGTTGAGGTTAATTATGGATTACTAAAAATGTTGTGCAAAAGTTCTAACGAATAAAATGTCACTTTAAACGGTTTTTTATAAAAAGTTGGCTATAAAGTTTAGTAATAATGCGGTAAGTTAAAACTGCAAAGTAAAAGTCGCGTTTTGGCTTAAAGTTTTACCTTCATGTTGAGCGTGACCCCGAAAGGATTTCTTAAGAGCGTAGGAGATCCTTGGAGCTTATGCCGTCGGCTGACTAGAAGAATGACCACAAAAACAACCAGAAGGAGAAGCATTATTGCCGTTAGCACTCCAACTACAACCTCGGTATAAGAACCTTCCTTCTTGCGTGCTGTTACTGTAAAATCGTTTCGGTTTTAGTTTATGTTTCAAAAAGTAGAGAAAGTAAATTCGCTCTGGGGATCCGAGATTAATATCGACCGCTCCAACTTGTTCTGAAAAAGGCATGAAATATTGGAAGTTTTGTTGCGAAACTTCTAGATTTCATCTCCTCAAATGTCTGGGGTGTCATTACATTTTGCCAGGAGAAAACCAACAAAATAAATAGGTACAAGTAAAATTCTAAATTAGATTTTATTTATTCCTGTAACTAAGGGCCTTTTGATGAAGCAATCTTGTTTTTAAAAAAACCCTGATACCTGAACGAAATTGAAAGCAATTTTCTGGCAAGTATATCAAATTACGTTCGTATAGTTTTTACGAGAATTCTGAAAATTATATTTCTTTAACAAGATCAACATTCGAAAGAGATACGTTTTTTTAAAGAAATAACTTCAGCACTGCCAAGAAAAACAGTGGCAACAAAAACAAGAGAAACAAAAGAGAACCCCAACATAAATCAACAAAAGAAATTCATTTGGTAATTGTGTTGTTTCTTTATTTGCTGGATAATCTGAATAAACTGAATGAAGTATTAACAAAGGAAGAATAAAATTCAAGGTATTGACCAAAAAAAAATATAATAAAAGAGCTGCCGAAAAGCGTTGCGTTCAAACGTAAATGAAAAATTGATTTATTCGTTGCGTGATGCCTGGAAATTAAATTAGACTGTTTAATATCAATGACAAGATAATAAGTGACTAACCATTTAGGTATAAACATTTACTGAAACTTTCTTTTCAAAAACGATACTAGAGTTATGAATAATGGATAATATGTTTATGCTGGGTAGGGTAGGCACGCAGATGGATTTTTCAAATAAAATACAGACACAACTGAATTAATTGTTTAATACATTATTATCGGTCTTCACAGTATTTACCCTCTAACTCTATACGCAGTTTTCATCGCCTTTCCCACCCTATCAGGATTTACATCAAAAATAAAAGAAAATCTACTGACAAGAAAATGAAACAAAAGAGGACGTCAGTCGCAAAATATGACAAGAGAGCAAAGAAAAATGGAAAAATTTAGAAAAATAACCATAAAAGATATGTCCCTTTATATCTATATGCGTAAGTGGGGGGTTTTGTTTTGAGTGGGATTATTCAAGATTTTATAACCGGTGTTGTTTTCGAAATCGTTGAATATTATGATTGGTCGATGTTGATTCACAAATAATATCGGATCTCTTAGTCAATAAATAATCTGGAGTTACACTCTAACGGCTTATCTATACACATAAAAAGACAAATAAAATATAACACAGGCATAGAACAGGAGTGAACGAACAATTCTAATTGAAAACGAAAAGTAATTTTTGTTTAATCTAACACATGCTAATCCTTTTGTTTGTTGTTTTATTGATCCTTGAATTACATATTAAACTAATATTACTAAGTTCTTAATTGGATTTAGTCGTTACGATCCAGAATTGCCTCTCCTATTCGGTAAGTTCGCGGATGAAAGTCTTTTATCTAAAGTTTAGTCATCTTTCTTGGTTGAGGCAGTCCCAGCAAAAAATTGCAGTGAAACATGTCAACAAAAACCTTAAATAAAGGGCTCCAGTCACGGACTCAACCAAAGAATTGAGTCAAACTTAGATCAAGACCATATTTAATTTTATATATCGTTTTAAGGGTCAATGTTGTTTCAAATGATTCGTAAAAAAGAAGGACAAGAAACGTAAGCGTTTATTTAATTGTTAATGGTTTTAAGACTTAGAAATTAACCGGTTTAGTGTGTGAAATATGAATCGTTCGTTTTCTCCTGGGGTGTTTTGTGTACTTGTAAGGCTTAAGGGAGCTTACTTGTCTCGAAGGCATCGAAGTTACTCTGACCAACAGAATTGATGACGACCTCGTGTTCGGCATTTTGTGGTTCCTCCTCTTCCGTAATGTTCCAGGCAATGGGCACTAAAACACGAACTTATCGGTTACCCCCAAGTTTACCGAGTGCTTTGCCACAAAGGCACTGATGTGTCACCAAGATAGATCACGGCTTATGCCTTCCCAAATAGATGGCTCTTATTCTCGGACAGTTCGAACTGTGCGTCCTATCGCAAGTCCCTTTTTCATTATTATATGCCTACGGAGAACTTGTTTTTTTTCCCGGCTCTTTTGGCCAATGCGATTTATGTAGCTACACCACATCCGCCACTACGTCAGCCTAAGATTAAAAGATGAAACTGCGGTCCTACTTTATGATTTCTACCACCTCTTATAATAAACAGAACTCAAAAGGGTTGCAAAATAGATATTTAATGAAATATGTGTGTAAAGAATGGATTATTTTATCAAGTGGCGATAGTATTTATACTTCGTTTAGTTTCTGTAGCGATGTGACCTTCAGTTTGACCGGCGCAAAGTAGAAAAGAACAGCACTAGGCCAGAAAAGGAAGGAGACAACTCTCGGCCAAACTCTTAACCGGTGAGGAGCGTATAATCCGTACAGTACAGCGCAGAAAAATTGACCGTTTTATCCACTACAACTGCATTGCTCAAATGTGCTGTTATTGGTACCATTTACTACTGAAAATATCAACGAGATGTTTATTTATATTTGAAGACATATTAAAGGCTTTAACGCTTGTTTTCAACCCGCACTACTATTCATGATTGAACAAAACTTTTGGCAGGTACTGTATGAAAAAGTATGATTAATGAACAAGACTCGAGAGTATAATGAGCTTTTTTCCCTACTTACGATATTGCCAGAGCGCATCCAAGACATTGGAAGGGGCACATCGCTAGAGAAAGTAAATGAAGTATACCAACGTCTTACAAAGACATCTACTTTCCATACTGGACCATGACACAGCTTACATGTATCTATATTTGACAGACACGCAGAAAAAAAGAAGTTCAATATAGATCATAAAGCTCTGGTCAGACATTTCTTTAATGAATGCATACAATTAGAAAAATATTTATTTATAGTCGTCGCAGTTTTTTAGAATTTCAATATTAGGGATGAACGCATTCCAGTGAAATCGGATTGGGTAGCTATATATTTATCGGTAAATCCTTAAACTTTCCCTTTTCGGTGATTAAGCATCAGTAATGCCCTAATCGGCTGGGTTTGTTTGACTCAGAGAGGATAAATTTCGTGGCAGTTTTAAAGGAGTGAAAACCATAAAACTGATCCTTGGTTCGAGACGGCCGAACAAATTGCTTGTCACACTTCAGAGAGCCAGAATTTCCGTTCAATTTATTCGTCATTAAACAACGAAATGAGACGGAAAATCGGGAAAATTGTGCATTTTTTGCAAAATATTAAAAACCCTTCGGACTTAATTAACCGAAGCCGATTTTGTTTAAAGAGAAGGCTTTAATTTCAGATCGGAAATCAATCAACTGGGTTCATAAATTAAATTTCATATTCTTACGTCAAGTACTAATGTGCTAATTATTTCTTTCTAATTGGCATAACGAAGAGGACACAATTTATTGAAGTACCTATTAAAAATTTTACAAAATGTTAACTTACAAGTTTAATTAATTAATAGTGTTGGGATCCGTCAAATGGGAGGAGCCTAAAGAACATGGCGCCGATTAGGGAAAATTTATCGTAGTTCCTATAGTGTACCGTGCAATTTCCAAGTTTTTAAATTACGATAAAATGATAAGTATTGACACAATATGTGATTGGGCTGACACAAAGCCTCGGAAAGGAAATTTCGTTGAAGGTGAGCGTGTTTTTAATGCCAATCACATTATAAAATTCGGAAATAACAAATCCGGAAGCTAGCCTTCAAATTCCGTCAAGTTTACTGCCTACTTTTTACAAACTTCGGATTTAAAAAGTGATTCACGTTATATAATTGGTGAGGTGATTCTGGGTGATTTAAGCAATATCATATCAATGACTTGCACGTGCAAAGCCGATTTAAGAGAACGTTGCAAACACATTATTGCAACTTTGTTGTATTGCAGCAGGTAGGTTCTTAACCTCAAAATACTTATATCGTATCATTAGAATTGTGTTAAATCAATTACACAGGAATAAATAATTTCTCACTTTATAATTTTAGTATGATTCTAGTTTTAAATATTAAGGTTATGGCTGATGGTAAATACTTGCTGAAATATAATCATGTGCATTAAAATGACGTGAACAAATTTTTATTCCGGAATTCACTTCTTTGATACCTACTGCTTTCATCCAAGCTTCTATTAGTTTACTTTTTTCTCTAATTTTCCGAATATATTTTTTACATATATAAAACGGTTAGTTTTTATTGGAAAGTAGTTAATGTAGGTGAAGAGTGAAGATCTATGTCTGAAGTGCTATTGCAGCTTTTCACTGAACATATCAACTTTTTATTTGATTTAACTTTATAAGAAAACTTCGTCGACTCCATCATCAAAAACATTTTTACCTTTTTACGTGTTTTATTATTTTAATAAATAATTTTACAATTTGCGTGCACAGTTCCTATGTAAATTTTTCCCTCATTCGAGTTATAAATTTTGCCACCAAATGGTGTATGCCCATTTGACGGATCCCAATAGTAGATTTAGTAATTCGTCTATTACAAGTAATTCGAACTTTTCGTGATCTACCTTGGCAATTTGTTTATTATATTCGATTTTTGATATCGGGTTACTCGATATTTTTGAACACCCCTTAATGGTCTACGCCTTTTTCTTAACATTCTTTACTAAACTTTAATATTGGGTTATTAAGGCCAAAGCCGTCACCTTCAGACTTAATATTTCATTTATCCCAAAACGTACTGCCCCAGAGGCCTAGTTCGTTGCTCATTAGCGCTCAGTAATTTTTAATTAAGTTTTCTCGCTTGGTAAAAATCTATTAATACCGTCCGTCAAGGATGCTCACGTTCGTTTTGAATATTAAGTACCTGAATCGAAGACGATCTCGCTTAACATAATCCACGAGGAGGCAAAGTAGAGTCTCATTTTTACGAAGCGGCCGATGCGATAATGAAGATTGATTGTGACGTTGCGGGAACTCTCCATAACCCGATCCGGCATATATGAGTATGACAAAGTGGGGCCGTTATAAAATTGACCGCCCACGCTGAACATTATCTTCGCCATCGAGAATACCTGCAAACGATGTAAAGTCAACTAGAGCACCTATCTAGTTGTCCACAAAAAGAAAGAGGTTGAAATACAAACCAAGCGGGTAAGCAGCAAGGTAATTAATTCTGACCTAGTTATATAAAATAATGGTTCAAAAGAGAAAGAAGCTGTAGGTACATCATTTTTTAAAAGGTCTTCTTAACAACGCTAAAGAATACTGAAGGAGTTAAAAATTTAAACGCAAATAACGAGAAGCATGCTTTTAACTTGTGATGAAAATGGGAAGGTAAAAAAAAATATTGTCAACCTAACGATTTTTAAAAGTAAAAAGTTACCGATTAATTAGCATTGAACGAGTTTTTAACTCCCCATTTGGATATTACGAGGGTGGATTGATAAGTTTCCGGCCTGACCAAGAAAAACAAGGTTTTTAAAAATTTTTTTTTTTTATTTCTCAACATAATCTCCTCCAAGGCTGATACATTTCTCATAGCGGTGTTCCAGTCTATTAATGCCATCTCTATAGACTGATTCGTCAAGCTCCTCAAAATAACCATTTACAGCTTCGATTACTTCTTCATTGTCCGCAAATCTCTTACCGCCAAGCCATTTTTTGAGATTAGGGAACAGAAAATAGTCACTCGGGGCTAGGTCTGGAGAGTAAGGAGGGTGCGGCATCAATTCAAACTTTAGATCGTTGATTTTAGCCGTCGCAACGATTGACGTGTGCGCTGGTGCGTTATCGTGATGAAACAAGATTTTTTTCTTCGCCAGATGAGGTCGTTTAATTTTCACCTCGTGGCTCAAACGTTGCAATAAGTCTGCGTAGTATTGACCAGTGATAGTATTACCCTTTGCAAGGTAATCAATGTATATAATACCTCTTGCATCCCAAAAAACAGTAGCCATAACCTTGTTCGCCGAAAAAATTGTTTTTGCCTTCTTTGGAGTTGGTTCCCCTGGTCCAATCCACTGTTTAGACTGTTCTTTGGTTTCAGGAGTGTAGTGGTGGACCCACGTTTCGTCAACGGTTACGAATCGACGCAAAAATTCGCTTGGATTACGCTTATACAATGACAAATTTGCGGTAGAAATGTTTTTTCGAATCAATTTTTGGTCGACTGTTAGCAAACGCGGCACCCATCTTGCACAGAGCTTTTCCATATGCAAATGTTGGTGCAAAATATGTTGCACACGTTCATATGACATCTTACAGGTCTCAGCTATCTCATGCACTTTCAATCTGCGGTCTCCCAGCACTATTTGATGAATTTTTTCGATCATATCTGGAGTTGTGACCTCAACGGGGCGTCCTGAGCGAGGCCCATCAGAGGTGCTCACACGACCCTTTTTAAACTCGGAAACCCACTGCTTAACGGTTGAATATGACGGGGAGGATGTCCCCAGTGTTGAGTCCATCTCTTTTTTAATTTCCTTCGGCGTTAACCCCTTCAAATAAAAGTATTTGATGACAGCACGATTTTCCTGCTTTTCCATTTTTACGAAAACCACAGAGGCGTCTTGTTCAGCGTGCTGTCAAACCTACACTAGCAAGGAGATCGGGCTGAAACTATAGCTACAAGCTATCCAAGGATGGTACTATAGAATGTCACCTCAAGGTAGGCCTAGTGGCGTCATCTCTTGGTTAGGCCGGAAACTTATCAATCCACCCTCGTAACTACTGAGGGCTACAGATATAATAAATGGACGATCTTAAAGTCATAGTTCACCAAATGATAACAAATCGATAAAAAAAATGCCCTCTTTGATGAGTAATTGGTAAATAATAGGACGATGACGTTCAAAAGTGTCAATTGATGAACTTTATAAGCTTTTGTTTTATTGATATGAAGATTTACAACTAACTAACTGATTTTGAGCTTCCCGCCATGAGCTGTTGTAACAGTGGATTCACTTGTTCGATCCAATTCTCCAATTCTTTCAAGTCAATAGACGAAAGTTTGTGGTTTTAGCCTTCAGCTCATTAAGGAGAGCATTTTATTTTGATCAATTTTCACCATTTGATGTGAGATATATGATCATAAAAAATAATGAGTTATGTATTTACTTTTGAAATTGCCCATATACTGTGTTTACGTATTACCCTCTTTGTTACGATAAATTAAATTTTAATGAGAATCCTGTATGGCATTGTTGTAATACTTAATATATGCCAATAAATGGACAAGAATTTAAAATGAATAGAAAATGGTGACATCTTTTAAATATCACGCTGAAATTGTGGCATTATAATTTACAAAAACATGGACAGTAGGCGCGGCGGAAAAGAAAAGGTTAGAAGCGTTCCAACTTTGGTATTACTGGTGAATGATGAAGATACCGTGGATAGAGAAGGTTAGAAATGAAGAGATGTTGTTAGAAAGAGTAAGAGAACAGAGGACTCTATGGAAGTCAATAAGAAATAGGCGAGATAGGTTGGTTGGACACCTTCTTCAGAGACATATTAGAGGCAAAAACAGGAGTTAGGAGGGGTAGAGGTCGACCTAGATTAGATTACTCTTTCTAGTTTTAGGGAAATGCGAAGATTAGCTCAGGATATGCAAGAGTGGAGGTGCATGTCCAACCAGTCTTAGAGGACTGCCGACGTTATGATGACGATGATGGATTTACAAATATTTTGCGCATGATTCGGATAATTCAAACGCACCAAACATTAAATGGAAATGAAGACGAATTCTGCAGGTCATTCTTCATTACTCGTAAATGTAATTGTTTAGCAGTGTCAATTGCAACGTATTTCGTAATAATAATCTCGGTGGGTTCACTTATTCTCAGGTCTCACTTACTTACTGTGTTGACCTGATACAGAAATAGACGTTTCAGTATATGCATCTTATAATTAAATTTTCACGTAGCTATCGCCGTTCCAGATTTTAATTAACTATTCAAAAGCCTGAAGTTGGAGCATCTGAAGCTTCCAGAGATGATGAGATGGCCTGAATCATATTCATGAGCCATTAGCAAGTATGGCACCTCACTGATCGCATAGATTAATTGATTTATTTCTTCCTTTATATATGAATAAAATACGGCGGGCAAAGAGAACGCATCCTTTTTGCTTGCACTAAAGGAAATACAGGAACGCTTTTTATCGATGTCGTCGCACTAATGGCATACGATTTGGTATGCAATAATGGTTTCTGTTTACTTAATGTCAGTAGATTATTACGTAATTACGGTTTATTTGAGTGTATTTCTAATGTACAGGCATTACCGATTGCAAATAAAGGTGACGATAACATCAGCACATAGGTTACAATAGAAAAATTGTAAGATTTGTTTACAATGTATACTCGTAAAACGAAATAATTTTCTCCCTTGCATTTCATTGATCTAAAAGCTTTATGGTCATTCACATTATATTTTAGATTAGACATTTAGTTCTTATAATACCGTAATGTTCGTGGGTTTAACAAAATTAACGTTTAAGGCTAATAACGACAAAGCTATTTATTTACACTACTGTTGATATATCACTATTCACTGCGCTATTTATTTCTCGATTCACTTCTGCAACGGTCAATTTATTTCTTCTTCCCTCGGCGATCGTCTCTTCCTTTAAATACTCTTTTGTTTACTTTCGTGAACCTTCTGGAAACATTCGTAACGTTTATTTTTTTTTTTTGAACTGTTTAACTGCTTTCCCAGAACGCAGGTACGACACACACATTTACAAATACGCCGCACGCCCGCGGCTAGTCGGCGAATCGATAAGCCGTTCAGGCACATGTGTTCCCGATCGCACACAAACACACTCGTGCTCGCTACAATATCTTATTCCAGTTGGTTTTTGTGAGAAGCGCATATATAAAGTGTTAATGAATTACGTTAAAGACATGAGATGTCATTGCTTTCATTTAAAAATAAATAATAATTAAAAGCGTGTGTAATAAATATATACATAGGGTAAACGATTCTACCTGCAAAGGGTATTTTCATAATCTGTTGATGTCAAAACGTTCAGAAGATATTAAATTTTCTTACCTGCACCCCCTTCGTAAAATAGTTGTTTGTAAATAAATGTACCGAAGAAAAATTTCTAACTTCATCAAACTGGAAAACGAGCTCTATATATCCTAATAACGAGCTACTATTCTTCCATGCTACCCAACCATTACCTGGAACAAAAGATGAATAGAGAGAACAGGCATGACTTTATCTTCTCAGTAATTGTCTTGACTATAATTCCGTAGTAAAGTTAACTCGTTTGTTTATTTGGCAAGTTATTGCTGCAATAAAGGCTTTAAAAAGTAATAGACAGACGTTTACCTAATTTGGTGGTGTATATCCTTCTTTAGAAACAAAGCACTGTCAAAAACCTGTATTATTTTTTGAAGTATTTAAAATTCGTTTATGTTCTCAAGTGCAGGTCTTCTCGAAAAGGTAATATTTTCTACAAAAGAACCCACTCTTTCGCTTTTGTTTGTAAGTAATACTGAAGTAGAGAAAATACTAATTTTATCTCACAAAATGTATTGTCACATGTAAGCCTTCACCTGACAATCAGCACTTTGACTATTATCGACGGCTCTTGAGTATGCATACAGGCAGGGACCGACCGCTAGTCAGTAACGTTTTTACTAAAGACGCGAAAGGCAATAACTTATGCCCTGAGTGACACATATTTGCCTGCTTAACAATAGGAGTTCCGGAATTTTAGAAATGTAATGAAGACAAACGCTTTAACTACAATAATTTGATGAGCTATACTCTTCTATAAAAGCAAAGCATTCTAAAAAATTGCATTATTTTTGAAGAGTATTTAAAATTAATCTATACACTCAGATGCAGGTCTTCTTAAATAGGTAATAATTTTCTTCTACAAAAGGACCCTTTCTCTCTCTCTCTCTATTTTACTTGTAAGAAATATTGAAGTAACTAATAATGAAATCATTATAAATATTCCAGTGAGTTTCAATGACTTTCAATAAAGCTTGCATTTTATAAAGACCTATATAAGTCGTTCCGTTTATCATTCTGTTTACCATAATTGACAAGAACAATGGAAACAAAGGAATGAAAGATAGCCAGGATGTCCATTAGTGACATTTCATTGTGTATTTACATGGATGCCTGACTATTGAAAATTGTTTTTGGGGTTTGAAATTTTCCGTACATGTGTGTAAGACGTGTGTCACTCACCCTTGCCGTAGCCTATGTCTAAACGAAAGTTATCAGCTCCGATTTCTCCATCGACCAGTCGCCCTAAGCCGTTGTACAACTGTCCGTCAGATGTTTCGCCGTCGTAGGAGCTGTCCACTAAACCCAGATCTGGATCAGAACCTGTCGGAGCTGAGTAAGAAATTACTCCTCCTGGAACAAATTGAAATAGTTCTGGGAAATTGTGGGAATATAATGCACAGAAATATGATTATAAACGTTTTATCCTTTCTTACCACTATCGGTAGTTACACTCCTGAAAAATCCAGGAATAATAATAATATTAAATAGATCGAGAGACTGCAGCAATTTATTTTTGTTGATTGCTTTTTGCTTTCAGTTCAGATTTTGTGCATTTGCCAAAGTGTAACGACTTCCTGTTACCTGTACGTCCCTTTGGCGATGCTGTAGCGGGAGCGAGACGGCCCCGTGTGGGAATATGAAAGCATATTGCTGGTTTATTACATTTTGCTTCTACGGTCCAGTGAGCATTGCTCAATTCATTTAGAGCCGACCGAACACTATGTACAGCATATCTATGAATCGTTGCAAGGTGGTTGGCTCCCCTATCGTTCGACCGGGAAGCAGGCACTCCCGCCTGTCTCTCTGGCGAACATTTCGTTGATAAATGTGGCTCATAACAATCGAAGCGTAACGGACGCCACTGAAAGAAGCACTTTCTCTCCATCAGAAAAGGAATTCGGTGTAATTTAGTTAGTTCGATTTGCTATAAGAAGCTGTATGGTTCCCTTTCTTCTGATGTATTCTTAAGTGACATTTACTTCCTGTTAATCATCCACAGAAACTCTTTGTTTAAAACTTTGTTTCGTTTGGAAATTAAAACGGGTTCAACAATTTATTTGCTTTATATGTTCATTGAAGTGTAAAACTCAAAACTTTTTTATTATCGATCATGTTTTCAATGTAACAAACTTTTAGATTTTCTTTATGTTGCGTATACGATTTGAAATCTCTCTTTGGTTATTTTGATCTCTTGATAGATGAAGGATTTACTGAATCGATTTGTGTAAGTGCAGATATAACTCGCAGAGTCGAATAATTCGAACGATATGGTGAAACATATTCGAAAGCGTCAATCTTGTTAGGCGGTGGTACTCGGAACGTTTTCATACTGTTCCCGACGACTTTCTCGGTTCCTGTTGGCTCTAGCGCCAACTTCTCAATTTCTCATTTTTCCTACTAATGACGACGACGGCGTCGGCGACGTCGTAACGCGCGGGACGTCCTCATAAGTAATCCAAATTAAGTCGAGCCGAAAGATTAGGGTAATTGATTTCGGAAATTAAGGCCTGGCAACTTCAACTTTACGTAAACTGCTTGAGACTGCAAGCAAGCTACATTGTACAGTTTCGAGCAGCAGTTTCATTCTAAGCCGTCACATGATTAATTAGATTTTAATTTCGGGAACAGCATCTGCGACATCATGCCAGCCCCCTCTTGTTCCCGTTCCTGCCTCCCGCACCTCTTCACAACCGCCGTTCATAAACTTGACACGCTGTAAAATATGCGTGTATTTATTTTCCTCTAGCTGAGCGACATTTATGCATTTACTTCTCAACGGGTTAATTACAGTCGAAAATTCATGATGTCAGCGAATGAGATATTTCGACAAACTCTGCTCGTAATTTTGCATGTTCTCGAACGCTGTTAAAAATGTAACTTTGAAGCAACCGTTTAATTGCAATCAAAGCCAAGATGTCGGCAAAAAGAATTTTATTTATCAGAACCAGCAGCCGACGTTTCGCATTTTGGTTTAAAGGATTTTCAAGTCAATACATCGATTATTATCAATGTTTCTTGAGTATGATCGCAGGCAGGGACCCCGACCGGTGGTCGGGCAGTGCTTCTACTAAATTATAAATTATACCTTGAGTGACACATATTTGCCTGCTTAACAAAAGGAGTTCCGGAATTTTCGAGAGGAATGAAGGCTCCTCGAGAGAATTCGATAATAATATAATGGATAACAGCCGGATTTAGTTACTATTTAGGTATTTTTTTAAAGATCTCGACGTGTACCATTGACATATTTAAATAATCAGGAAGTACACGCTGCAAAATGGTTGGTAATGTGTAGCGACACACACATTCATATTTATTGTTTTTTTGGTAGCTGGTGGTTTAAAATACTTGCAAAAATAAACTGTAAATAGTTGAATGATGTATGCATGTAGATGTATGTAGGTATGTATATAAAAAGGCAGCTTGACTGTCAGATAAGCTACTTAGCGTTGAATTGAAATCGGTTGAATTTATTGTTTTTGTGTTAGGTTGGTGGAAATGACTAAGAGCTTTTTTGTGTAGCTTGCGTAAATAACAAGTTAAAATTCGAAAGCGGGGAAAGGCGAAGCCACTGGCCAGAAAATAAAAAAAACAGCGAAGCAATTTGGCGTTCGAAAGTACGCTTAATTACGGAAACTTTAATAAAAAAACTGATTAGCAAGTCTTTGTAGAAAATTCGAATAAATTTCCTTCGGAGTATTTAATTTATTTCAATAACGTTCCTACATTTATTCTAAAGGAGCAGTTGTCATATTTATTCATTAGACGTTAGGTAAACAATTTTGGTAAAGTGCTAAAAAATCCATTGATTTTAATTAAGTAAGTCTTTTTTTTTAATTTCAGCTTTTATTGGTTTTCTCAACAGTCACGAGAGGGTGCATTGTCCATGGCCTTAACGAGCATTACATCTGTTCCATTTCAGGGTAAGTCTATATTTTATTTATATATTATTATGGAAGGGGCAATCACATCTGTTTTATGTGATAACGGAGCGATATTTATAAAATTGTGTTATTTTGACTTACCATCATAAAGACACCCCAATAACTCCACCCTCAAGCACACCGTTCTGCGGTGGACACTGTACGGTAAAATTCTTAGCTTGCTTGCAAATATTGGAGGCATTAGTTTATGGCTTTCCACTGTCGCTGTGTCGCTGTTTCCTCTTAGAACCTGTAACAATTCAATCAGTTAAAATAATTGAATAGAAACAATGGGTCGCCAAAGAACAGATCAGAAAATTAAATATATTGAACAATTTGAAGAAGTAAATCCAACTACAAAACGGTTTAGGACGAAAATCCCAAAGTCTAATACAAAACACTTGACAAAAAGAACGAAATCAAAAGCCAAAAGTTCAATAATACATGGAAACCCTTAAGAGCAATATTTTTCGGTCCATTTGTCATTATTTGATGTAAGACATGATTATAAACCATCAATGAGTTATTTAACTTTGAGATCGCCCATTCATTCCATGCATCACCCTGTAAGCTTAATTAGTTTAAAGAATCACGATGTCCATTAATTATTCTGCAGGGTTAATCGGGTTTTAGTTAATAATTAGTATCTCAAGGGTTAAGAGTATTAAATAGGGGTAATTTAGGTTGGGATTATAATTGAATTATAATATATATATACGAATATTTGTTGGTAAGGGCCAGACTGCAGTTTGAAAAAAAATTAGTGGTTTTGATTAGTAAGATATGCAAATAATCATAATCCTAAGCCATTAATTTTCAATTATTACAACGGGATTGCCCTTATGTGTACGTATATAAATTGTGTATAAAAGGAGTCCGTGGTTCTTTATGCCAATGCCGTTTTGCCAGTTTGAAAGCAAACCAGCGAAGCATTCGTTAAGATAGAGGATAAATGCCTTCTCTTTTATACGGAGACGTCACAAAGAAACCGGAACCGCAAATCTCATCGGATCTCTAATCTCATTGCCGTCAGACAACCACTGTGCAAACAGGAGCTTTACGTAACGGCAATGTAAAGGGTTGGGGTGCGACGCCGAAGACGGGCGGCGTTCCCCGCGCGACGCCGACGACGCTAGTTACCTACCGTGCCGGTCGACGCCGGTCCTAACAAACAACATTTCAGGGTTGAACGGTCGCTGTTGTTCAAAAAAATAATGTCACGCGATTTTTTTATTGTCAAAGTACCCACATAAAATGAAAATGTATAAAAATGAGACACACACTCAAATATTATTAATAAAAAATTATTAGTAGATATCTATATATTTAAATGGACCTTGTTGGAGCATACGTAATCCTAAAATGTAGCATCGTACCACAGATGGCGTTTACCGCTCCATTTGTGGTATTTTCTAGTTTCATTACGATAAAAGTTGTCATAAATATAATAGTAGACTTTAATTATTTGGTGGATGAACCTGGCAGCTAGATTTCTTACTTGAACAACAGTGAAATAAGTGGTAATTAACTATCTAGTTTTGTTTAAACATTAATTATTTGCAATCAACAAATTAAACTATCACTATGTTTTCAATTTAATTATTTCTACAACATTGTTATTATTAGTTATTTTGACGATATTAGCTGCGTGTGTTTGTGTGCTCATGGATAGCTCTCTGGAGGCTGTATCTGACGAGATATCGCCTAAATGCTGGCTTTGTTCTCTAGAGTACGTCACATTTTCCTTTTGTGACCGCGCTTCTCTTTATTCCTGCAGTTGGCTTAGTTTCACGCCATCTCCGATCCTTCAACGTCTCAGCGGACAATACAAGTTTTCGTTTCATGAAATTTACAGGACGAGATGGACGAACAAATTACGCCAAATTAATGTAATTTGCTCCCACTTCTTTAAGAAAATCGTTAAAAGTATAAATGGAGTTATTCAAGGATAAGGGCGTTACATTAGTTTCGAATTTAAGGGTGTCCATATGTATATAGCAAAAAGTATGCAGTAACTGATGGTCTAGTAATCTCTACTAGCGTTTGTTCGGGGAGACTCATTTAAGACTCGGTGTATTTAGACTGTTTATGTATTCAATTCATCTGTTTCCAAGGTTCCTGCCCTGCAATTCATCCAAACAGTTTGTTAATTCTAAATAAAACGAACTAGTTGCTGTATTAAAAAATCAATAATTAATAATTGTGAATTCGTACTCGGTTGAAGCTCGTACGAGCTCACTTATGACTCAATTTTTGTATACTCCTTTCCTTTAGTGCAGTAGTTGAATCGACTCGTTACGGTTGCCGATAAGCTTGCGTGTTAGTTTAACCAATCCAGCAAACTGTCACCGATTGATACTAACAATTTGTTGAAGTTCAACGTTAATAAATCGCATCCGTATTAATCCGTCTTTCTTGTCTGTGATTGTTTTTTCAATCACTTGTTTCAAGCGGCTTTCAGCTTCGATGAGGATGGAACTCCTAATTTTATTTACTGATATGTAATTGCAGGTGATATATGGAATATAAAATAAAATAGACATGTTATTGTTTAATAGATACAACCTCGCCTCGGTCTTACAATTATATAGTCTCTTAGGTTACATAAGTATTGACTATCGTTAGTGCAAAAATGTGTCTTAAATTGTGTTGTGGCTGTCGTAGAAAGACAGTAGTAGATTTAAAACTAATGCGAGTGTCTTAATTCTTTTTGTGGAATCTTGCAACCCTTCCCTTTGTTAGTCTGCAAGCTAACTGTGTTGTCTATAGCAAACCAACATTTGCTGTTGGATTTATGGTGGCTATCTTTCACGGACTAGACTGACGCTTTTGTTGGAAATTGGAAGAGAACGGACAAAAGTAGTCTCTAATTAATGGATTATGATGGGAATTGTTTGAACCAATATTAAAACTTAAACAAGTATTTGTAAGGTCATAAAGTCTTCGTTAAACACTATAAACTACTATAGTAAAATTCTGCAGAAGGTAATATATATATATCAGTCAGTTACTTGATAAAAATTCATGAATCCTTTAGAGAGTATGAAACTGTGAATTTGTATTTTTTATAAAAATTGGGTAAACTCCTTAGAATTTTGTTATTTTCGTATTTTTATCATAATTTAGTAATTTCAAAACGTCTTTCACGCACATCTCTGGCAATAAATCTGCAGATATTTTACAGGGGTGGTATAAGGGGCAGGGGGCTACCAGAGGCGCAGATTCCAGAGGGACACATTTACGATCAATATTAAGAAAATTATTTACGTTTTAGATATTAAATAACAATTAAATTTAACCCTTAACACAAAACTCACGATAAGAATCGATTTAGATAATGTTTCAGTTGTGAAATAACTTGAAGTCTATTTTTAAAAGTTCTAGGAATACAGAATGAGAACCTTGCCGCGAGGCTCTTACAAAATTGATTTCACTTAAAAAATAGGACGATACTTGTTCTTCAGAAAATTTCACATTGGTGTTTGTGTGCTAATGCCAATGTCACTATAAATTAATCCCAAATTTAAAATTATAATTTCCTACTGTATTTAAAAATCGAAAAATTGGGAGGTAGTACATGACGCATACACAGGTATGAACGATAACGTGGCAGTTGTCGGCGGATCACTCAGGGTCATAATTCATACGCTGTATGACACATACACGACCGCGTAACAAAAGAACTTCGAGAGCTTTACAGAAGTATTTTATCAATCAATTTTTTCATAAAAATACTTTCTTTGACTTATTTTTATGTTGAATCCAATACATTATTTTGTAAATTCAATCTCGCTGTTTCGTAAATACAAATATTTAACTGTACTTGTCCCAAATACGGTAGAATTGTTTAAATGTAATTTTCGTCTGGATTAATAATGTAAGTGCCAATTTCCTGATACGGTTAACATTAATTTACTTTTTTTTTTTCAATGTACTGTTATATTATAATATCTACTCGTTTAAATAAATAAATGAGTTCCTACAAAATTCGTTACAGTAGGGTTTATGATGAAAACGGCAGCAACAGATAGTGGAACAGACATACGGAAATGGAAAATTGCCTCGCCCCTGCTCTGTCTAATTTATACAAGTTGATTGAAGATCTATTATAGAGAAGTTGGGTTTCCCGATTTTCGCTCAATTTATCTTTAATTCAAGATAGGAAACTAAGTTCGTAATTTTTTATGTCTAGCAATAATTGTCTCCATCTTTGGAGGAATTGCAACCAGTTAGCGAACGTTGAACCGCGTTTAGCAGGCATTTAAATCCCATTTAAAAACTAGAAAGTCCCAACTTTTTAAAGAGACTTGAACGTATTGCTTCCAGTCGGTCTCCGCAGTCCTGAGCACAGCAGATTGCCCTATTATTCTTGGGATAGTTTCTGATTAAATACGCCAACTGTTTTCGTTTCGAGTACAAAATTTCGCTGCCGCGCCGTTCAAGAAATTAAATTTCTTCGCTGGTAAATTATTTCCACGCTTTTCTTCGCCGTTTACGTCTGATAACAGCTCCAGTCTAAATAGGAACTTACTGGATGCTTCACAGGAAATTAAAGAAGTGGGTCCTTTTGTTTCCTCTTTTTCATCCACTCCAAAATTGAGTGAGTATCTCTTCTTCCCACAGGGTTCAATTAATTATTTTTTATTCTCTTCTTAAGTGAACAAATATTTGTTTTCGAACTTATTTCAATTTTGTTTAAACGCCTTCAGGTATCTATTTATTGCCGGGAAAATTTGCTTAATCCTTGCTGATTTAATTTTATTTTATACCTTGAAGGATACTGGAAGGATAGAAAAAACTTTTTTGTGTCACACAGTAATTATTTTGAGGATAGGCCTCGCTAGCCGAACTTGAAGTTAATTTCTCCCTTGGGGGAAAAATTATTGACTAAAAAATGAATTTTTTATCTCATAGTTTAATGATAAAATTCTTCTTAAGAGGAATATTTTCACAGCTTGAATGAAGGCTTAAACTTTTTAAAATAGCATTTTGGTCATTATTAGAACAATTTTTATGTACTCATGCAGTGTTTTGGCTTATTTTTAAAGTAGATCCTTTTTATTTTCGTACTGAAAGCTTTGCTATCAAGCAAACATCGATAGTGGAGATTTAACCCTATTTCGATGGCATCCATTCTTCTCCGAAATTCGTAGGGTCTATATCTTGGGTCTTGAATACAACACATAGCCATATATGTAGGTGTAGTATTTATTAAAAGCAACAAAATAATTGAATTAATCGAAACGTAAATATTGTTACGTATTTAAGCAGTTTTCTCACACTATTACTACTTTTATTTAACCATTTGCTGTCTAATTAACGCTCCTTTTATTAATTATTTATCCATTCACCACTATATGAAGACTTTGTCACTTCTTTGCTCCTTATTCTTTGCTTTATATCGCCTCGAACTCGTTTTCGTACTCGTAACTGGATCTCGCGGCAACATGTTCTAGAATGATTCAGTATATGCCATCTAGAAAGCTGGTCTTCTTTGTCGCCATGTATGTTGGGTTGCCCATACTCATGTGACAGTACGTATAATTATTCTTAAACCCTTATAATAAGAATAGATGATGATAATAATTAGGCACATGTCTCATTATTTTAGCAATGATATTAAAAAAAAAAAACCACTTTCCCTTTTCGATTTCGAAAGTGGCAAATTCGTCGCTCATTATCTGAGTATTGTTCCACCTTAATCACCACTTGTCCCGTTATTCATAGCACCACTTTAATCTTCCCCTGACGAGAAGATGCTCGTTAATGGTTAAAAATGTTGTTGGTAAAGGGACGGCGCTTTTGGAGAGGCACGCTCGCGAAAAAAAAAAACTCAAAAAGGGTACTTAAGGGAATAAGCGCCTGTTATTATTTCCAGCCCTTGCGGAATACGCAGTCGGTGCTAGACGACTTTTAGGGACAGTGACGGCACTTGAGTAACGTTTCCATAACACATATGTATATATAAAAAAATCTCTAGTAGTAGGTAGGTGGCAAATATAATTTTGAAAATAATAACTGGGCAATCTAATAAAAAATGTTTATCGCCTAATTTCTAATTTATTTACGTGTTTTAATAGCAAAACACAAATCTTTCTAACACAACATTTTAAATTCGAAAAATTTTCAATATTCTAAACATTTGTGCCCGAGAATAATTGTCATTTTTACGATCGATTGTTTTGCTTATTGTACACCAGCAACTACTTACAATTAGTTACGATAAATAATTACTGAAGTTTATATACTGCATGTCTTGTTCCTAATTTATTGTAATTTAATCAATTAGAACATTAACAGAACTACAGCTAAGCCGCTGGCACAGAATAGACTCCGGTTGTAGTTCTGCAGAGTTGTTTGTCGCTAAGTTTCCGGGTACGTGATACAATTAAAGCTTCTAAAGGGGACATGTACGAATTTATATCTGACAAGGTTTATTTTTCAATACAGGGATCAGATAACACTAAGAATCACAAAAATATATGCTCTTTATGTCGTATATACACAGTCACCTCTCTGTAAGTCGAATTGACGTAAAAATTGTTCAACCTACAGGATCTAATTAAAAATGAGAACCATTATAATGTAAAAAGATATCAAGAAGACTTTTAATAACAAATTTACCTTCTTCAGGGCCTGAAAACTGTAGACTGCGAAGTAAGTAGTTAATTTTCGGCAACAAAATTACTTTCTTCAGCGACTGAAAGGAATTGAAGTCGCTGAAGAAGGTAACTTTACTATCGAAGGTAACATTGCTATCGTAGGAAACTTTTGATAATAACTTTACCTTCTTCAGGGCCTGAAAACTGCAGTCCGCGAAGAAAGTACTTAATATTCGGTAACAAAATTACCTTCTTCGGGGACTGAAGGGAATTGAAGTCCGTAAAGATGGTAACTTTAGGTGACAACGTTATCTCTTTAAGGGACTGAACCCAACTGAAGTCCCTTTACTTCTCTACATCGTCCACTAAGCTGTGAATTGCTGCTGTTGTCTATTGAATACATCATATAAATCTAGTTAATTCCTTTACTCCTTGAAAAAGTTCAATCGACTATAGCGTTTGTAGACATTTTTGTCAACTGTATTTTATATACCTACCTAGGTATAGATACATAGATTCTATGTGATCACATAAACGTATGTATTAGTTTACCTGTTTGCCGTCCCATCGCCGATACTCCTTCCATTTTCCTAATCCAGGTCGCCAGTACTCCAAGGTGTACTCCTCTGTGTACTCTTGTCCTCGGCCCCTGTCGTAGCGCCCCTGCGTCTCGATCCCGGTTATTACATTTACATCCCCGAGATCTATTTGCAAATATTCCCGGACACCCTTTTCTACCTGTTGTTTAGGACACCAGCCTCCCCCAGCACGTTCTATTCTCAACCTAGAACAAAGGACAAAAACTACGTTTAGTTTACGAACAACAATTTTTTGTTACTAATGGTTGTTGATGCGCTTGTGTTTTAAAACTTCATTTTGAAACGAGATTAGTGTTACACAGCGTTAACACAGAGAAAATATTTGTAGGGGGATTGTTATATTATAATATATTTCAATTCAAAGGGTATGTACGTTCTGTTTATTAATTTCTTACTCTTCAAATAAGTTTCGATTTTGACTTTTGTTAATGTCGTATATAATAAAATAATTCGAAGTGGTCTGTATTCTGTCGAAACTGCCAGATGCGAATCGCGATTTCGATCTTTTTGGATCTCATCAGCGCGTCGCAGGCAGATCCGACAGAACACAGATCAACTTTTACCTGCTGTCTTAACAGCGCGTTTTAGAAAATACGACATATGGCGCTGTAAACGCCATCTGTAGTACAGTACTACATTTTAGGATTACGTATATTAAGGCAGCAGGTAAAAGTTGATCTGTGTTCTGTCGGAGCTGACTGCGACGCGCTGATGAGATCCAAAAAGATCGAAATCGCGATCCGCGTCTGGCAGTTTTGACAGAATACAGACCACTTCGAATTATTTTATACGATTATGGTAACGTGCCTACCACGTTGAGGTGAGCTACGCCGGGATTCGTTTCAGCAAGTAGATATCCATATATTTAAACATACGTAAACCTCAAATGTAGCACTGTACTACAGATGGCGTTTACAGTGCCATTTGTCGTATTTTCCAATGTCGTATATAGTTAATGTTCTTTTATTTTCTCTTCGAAAGATCTTCCCGCCTGTCCGACGTATACTTTCTTGTAGCCTCTACATATTAGCTTGTAGACTGTAAACATGAGATTTTAACTTTCTGTCCTATTTTTATTACTTATTTGAAACTAATATTAGGTCACTTTAGGGTAACAATGCGGGGAATTAATTTCCTTTTCGACATAAATTAAGGACACCGAAGTAATTACCAACATTATGCTCTGTTGAAAGTTTAATCTCCTGTGAATTCTTAGAATTATTGGAATAGACTTATGTACATATTAAACTATGTTTCTGTACCTATTTCATACCGTAAGTATCTACCTAAAAGTTCGAATCAAAGTAGATTAAGCTTCTGCCTCGAAATTGCTAGAATTAACTAACTTCATATAAGGCAGACATTTAGGTATGCATGAATTAGTCAATTAGTGAGAAATACGACCATTATGTTGAGGTATTATTCACGATGCTGTTGTTTCATCATTAGGGTAAATTAGCACAACAGCCCCCATGTGTAAAAAGTTAGGATAATTTGAACAATTTAATTTCTGGAAACTTAAAAATATAAAAGAAATCTTATTTATTTCGGTTTGATAATCTTCGTAATTTAATACATTAGCCAGCAAGTTGCGTTTGTTATTTAAAAGCGAGCGAGTTTGATTTCTTTTGTGCAGTCCAGCTGTTGGTGTCTAAGTAATTCTAGGAAGCGTCCCCTTAAATAAGAGACAGGCTTTTAATTAAGACAAATTTGTTTACTTGTACTAGTGCTTTTGCTGCTACCTCTTCAATTAAATTTGTGAATAAATTTCGACCAGAATTAATTTAAACTAATTTTGTTTAATCATTTCCTTGCTGAATAAATAAATATACGATTGATTTTTGATTAAGTAATTGCGAACTTTTGTTGCTGTCATTGCAAAATCTTAACTTAGTCTGGAAAGAAGCCATTAACTATAAATAAGTGAACTTACTTTTACAGTATTGTATAAAATGTCAAATTCTAAGATGAACGTAGCAATTTTAATTAACCTTGATTTGCAAAGTTCTCTAATTCAACTTCAAAATAGAAAGCAAAACGGTATTTTACTATTAACTTGTGCAGGACAATTAAAAACTGAAGTTGTTATTGTATTTCCAATCATCATTGTGTAGCGAGCACGAGTGTGTTTGTGTGCGATCAGGCATACGTGTGTGTGAGCAGCTTATCGATTCGCCGACTAGCCGCGGGGCCTTTCTGCACGTGCACCGTATTTGTAAACGTGTGTGTCGTACCTGCGTTCTGGGAAAGCAGGTAAACAGTTCAAAGAAAAAGAAACTATCCGGATGTTTCCAGAAGGGTCCCGAAAGTAAACAAAAGAGTATTTGAAGGAAGAGACGATCGCCGAGAAAAAGTAGAAAAAAATTGACCGTTGCAGAAGTAAATAGGGAAATAAATTGACAGGGATAGCAGTGAAATAAATAGCTCAGTAAATAGTGATATATCAACAGTAGTGTAAATAAATAGAATAATTCATAACCTAAGTTTAGTAATAATTTAATAGTGTTTTATGTTCTTTAATAATTAGTGTAAATAAATAGTTATCATTCTTAGAGTTAATTTTGTTAAACCCACGAACATTACAATTGTTTAGAACGGGAAGTTCTTATAAAAATTAAATTTATTTTGCGTATTTTAACCCCTCGTATGTGGGCGACCTTATTGCGTTAAAGATAGAAGGTTTTTGGTTATTTCCAATTCGATTTAGGTGTATGCCGCAGTCGTATGTTATTTTAACATCGACCTGGCTTTACTTAATTTACTGTCCTGTCGGGATGGTATGTTTAATTATAGGACCGCTTAATCAGGCAGTCTTCTGGGATACTGGCTAATTAAATCGACTAATTTGATATTGTAACCGTTATTGGCAATACGTGTATCAACAGTTTATGGAGTCGCTTCTGGTCAGCCGCGTACTGGGAGAGCTTTTGGTTTTAACTGACCAGCAAATGTGGGTCGTTTCAGACAGTTCAAACGTTAGCTGGCGTTAGGGGTCGTTTCGTTCGTCAGACGTTTTAAGTTTTGTGTAAATAAGTTTGACGTGGCAGCAAAGCCAACCAACTAACTCTACCGATTGTGACGACCGATATTTACAACGCGGCTGGTATAATTCAATTATCTCATCGACATGTCGCGTAGCGCCGGCTGCTGTGCCAACAACTAATTAATTTTTATTGTTTGTCCTTTCCCGTTGTTTCCGCGAAATATGGCGCCGGAAAATCGAAAATGGAGATGGCGATAACTACGAAAAACTTGTCCAAATGAAGTATATTTCTCTAGTAGTAATATAAAAAGCGAATATAAAGATAGGAGACAAACTGGCTGATTTAGGTGTCTAGGAAGTCAGATAATTCAGGACGAAAGGAGTAGTAGGGATATAAAGCAGAGGATAGCGGAGGGTTGTGTCGCCTTCAATAAAAAGAAGTCACTTCTATGCTCGCGAACGGTTAATTTAGAAATTGGTGTATGTTTGGAGCACGGCACTGTAAGGGTGCGACACATGGACAGTGGACGCGGCGGAAAAGAAAATGTTAGAAGCGTTTGAAAGTGGAAAGGCGAATGATGAGGATACCGTGGATAGAGAAGGTTAGAAATGAAGAGATATTAGAAAGAATAGGAGAAGAGAGGAGAATATATGGAAGTCAATAAGAAATTGGGCGAGATACGTTGGTAGGATACTTTCTCAGGCATGAAGGTCTAGTCAGAGACATATTAGACACAGAAACGGGAGTTAGCAGGGGTAGAGGTAGACCTAGATTAGATTACTGTTCGCAAACCGTTAAGGATGTGGGTTGTTCTAGTTTTAAGGAAATGCGAAGATTAGCTCAGGATAGGAAAGAGTGGAGGTGCGTGTCCAACCAGTCTTAGGACTGACGACCTCATGATGATACGCGATACTATGAGGAACAAGTCAGAAGTTATTTTGTCAGAAAATGAGGAAAATGTAGATAGGTAGAAGGAACGCAGTACAAGTTACTCGGAGGTAGATGAATTAGGATTATACTGTGGTATGGACATGAATTGTGGGCAGTGGGCACGAGACTGAATGTTATCTGTCAAAGTTCGTCAAAAAGAAAGGTTTCCAGTGGTCTTCTTGAGTGTCTATATTTCATCAAAAATGAATATCAGTTGTTGTAATTCGAGTGTACATCATATACTGTACATTATTTACTTATTCTTGTAATATGTGTACTAACTTCGCGAAGTTTTATCTTTAACAATCGAAATAAGTACTTTTCTTATTTTAATTATTTTCGCCATGTATATTACAATGTACTGTAGAAACATTTTCCATTTCGTGCACCACTGCAGTAAATCATAAAGGCTCAAACGAAGTTTACTGTTTAAGCTTTAGCATGCGACACAAATTAACGAGTCGAAGGTTCAAGGTTTGTCTCGCAAAATTGTACTCCTGTATGATCAAAAACGGTGAGGTCCATGCTGCTAGCAGACTGTGTTTGTGCATGAGAACCGACATGTAATAATTTAGAGAGAAAGAGCGTGCGTGTGTGAAAGAGATAGAGTGAGAGAGCGAGCGACTGAGACCGGTGGTGGTGATTGACATTCATTGAGAACACAGAAAGCACCTTTTCACTTCACACTTCACCCTTTGATTATTATGTCGTCGCTAAATCGAAGGCGGCTTTGCGTAGACCTATCAATATTTCACAGGAATAATTGCAGCAGTGTCAGTGTCAGCCGACTCCTGTATCAATTACTTTTTGCTTTGTTCTCCGCCCTTTGAGAATAAATAAATGAGAAAATATCTTGGCGATTCTGTGAACCGTTAAATCCGGAAGAATAGTAGAAATTGTATATTCATACCTTTTGTAAAACGTTGATAGATTGTGTTTACGTCATCTATATAAATATGCCTGTACGATCTAATACAAAACATCCTGGCAACAGCATATTGAACTTACTTATAATATAATATATATGTATGATCTAATATTAGATCGACTGGGGTGTATGAAGAAAGGACCCCTGGGTTTCTTCATAGAAAATGGCCCTAAGTCAAACGCGCTGAAACTTTGGTTTCAGGAAGTTTTTGTTGTGTACTAATATTGAAAAAATAACAAAAGTGATTATAAATAGTTAAAAAAGATTATATGGTTGATTAGGTTCTACACTAACCATTTAGTTTATAAAAAATTCAACTGAACATTTTAAAAGATCAATTTTG